TCTCTGGGACACACCAACTCACCCCTACAATCCCAATTCTTTGACACGACAACTCAAACAGAGGAAGAAAAGAGAAAACAGTTTAGTGAAGTCTCCTCCTCCAGTTAGCCTCCTTCTGGTGAGCTTTTTGCTTACTTTAGGGTCTGTTTGTGGCAGTTGCAACTTAGCTACCTCAAAAAGCTGTTGCGGGGAAACTGGCTGGTTGTTTATTTCAGCTATTTGAAAACTGTTGTGTGACAGTTGTTTCCAGACGAATGATCATTCTGCCCCTATTTAGTAATTTTGTTTGTAGCATAACTGTGATAGTCATATATTTGATACTTCTGAAGCAGAAATTTACTTCATAACAATACAAAAATTCAGATATATATGAAATATAGTGCATTTGAAGCTACACTCTTTTTGGCACTTCTTTCCAAAAAAAAATTATTAAGGCGCTCCTTCCTATAATTTGTCTTATTTAAAATAATCATAATAACCTATGAAAAATTCATATCTATGCCATATATTGACTAAAAAATTTGCTATTGCCAATATGAATTTAAGTGTGTTAGTTGACAATATGATTATATACAGCTTAATAACATAATTAGTAAAATAAAAAAATAACCTAAATAAAACCAATTTAAATTTATCTTCCCATCTGCTCTGCTTGAGGCCGAAACCCTAGCCATACATTCATTACTAGAGCTAGTTGTGAAGGCAATGATGAGATCGCGACGTACAAAGACCTCCCATCCTCCTCCTCTAGCTTCGCTCCTGCGAGAAACCATTGAGGAAGGTAGCCCTCGTATTTCGTTGTCCTCCTTCCACCCCCTTTTGCGTGCTTTTGCTCGTCTAAATCCCGTAAACCCGTCTTCCAATTGGATTTAATAAATCCAGGAGTAAAAGACAAATGAGTTAGGGCGGACGAATGACATTAAAATTAAAAACACGAAGTAGAAAAGCGACCCGTAGGGTCGAACCCTTGGCTCACATTTTATCCAAACAGCATCGCGCCGCGTCCCTCCCACCACCGCAAATGGGTAAAATGAGCGGCACGGCGCCGCGCCGCTGCCCTAAATGGGGCCTTAATATAAGCATTTTAATTCTTAAATTTTAAGTTAATTTTTAAACTAGGTTAATCAACTCAATAGTCTTGGATTAGGTTTGGGTTTGGGTTCGGCTCAGAACGACCCAAACCCAACTAAACCCTAACTCACCCCAAACCTAACCCAGGTCTGACCCAACCAGACTTGACCGGCACCCAACCAAACATTAAATCACTTAGTCAAAACTCTAAACCAAACCCAGGTCTGACCCAAACAAGACCTGACCAACCCCTAACCTAAACCACACCTGACCAAAACCCTAACTCACTTAGTTAAAACCCTAAACCTAACCCTGGTATGACCCAAACTAGACTTGTCCATAACTCTAACCTAACCCAGGTCTTACCCAAAATGAGTTGACCTAAATCCTAACCTAACCCAGGTTTAACCTAACTAAGACTTGATCCAAACCCTAAAATAAAACCTAGCTCAAACCTAAAACCCAAACCAAAAGTCAAACTCAACCTTAGACCTAACCCAACTTAGGCTTAACCCAAACCCAATCTTAGGTTAGACTTAACCCAATTTAGGTCTAACTCAAACCCAAGCTAACTCGCATCAAACCAAGCTTAACTTGATTTTGTCCCAAATCAAACCTGAGCTAAACAAGGTCAACTCAGCCTAACCCGAACCAACCTAAATCAAACCGAAGCCAACCTAGGTCAGCCCCACTTAATCTGGGTCACCTAAATCAGACCTAAGCCAACCCGGGTCAACCCAACTTAACTAAGGTCAACCCAACTTAACTAAGATCAACCTAAATCAAACTTAAGCTAACCCAAAGCAAAGATAAATAGAACCTAAGCCAACCCGGGTCAACCTAGCTAACCTGGGTCAAACTCATAAGTCAAACCCAAATCAAATCTAAGCCAATTCGGGTAAACCCAAATTAACCAGTGTTAAACTCAAATTAAACCAAAGCGAACACGAGTCAACCCAGCTAACCCGAGTCAAACCCAAATCTTACCTAAGCCAACCTCATTCAACCCAGCTTAACTCAAGTCAACCTAAATCAAACCTAAGCTATCCTGGGTCAACCCAACTTAACTTAGGTCAACCCAAATCAAACATAAGCTAACCTGAGTCAAACCCAAATCAAACTTAAGCTAACCCGGGTCAATCCACTTGAGTTAACATAAATTAAGCCTAAGCTAACCTGAGTCAAACCCAATTCAAACCTAGGCCAACCCGGGACAAACCAGCTAAACTGATTCAAACCCAAATCAAACATAAGCCAACCCAGACCAACCTAGCTTAACCTAGGCCAACCTAAATCAAACCCAACTTAACCTGAGACCTGGGCCAACCTAAATCAAACTCAACTTAACTCGAGCTAACCTAGGTCCGACAGGCCTAGATTAGTTGACTTATATCATACCTTAACTCAATCTTGATCTAGCCAAAGCTGTAAACTCAACTTAATTCAGCTCAGCTCTAGCTCAAGTCTAATCCAAGGATAAGTGCATGTACTATTATTGTTATTGATTTTTTTTTTTCATATGATTCATGTGTTATTTCATGTAAAAAACAAAAACAACAAAGCAAATTATATTTTTATTTTACAATTAAATATTATTTAAAACATTAAAAAAAATTAGGCCTGATCTGAGCTGATAGAAAATAGGTTTTAAGAAAACGGTAATATTTCACTATTCGGCCCATGTAAACAGTAACTAATATTAATGATAGTGAGGTGTCGGAGTCTTATTATATACGTTTGTATCTCCTAGGTCTTAGGAGTAATCTAAGCCTATATGAATTCAATTATTGTTAAAAATTAATAATAATGCATCTCTTCAATAATTTAATTTTCTTAGGGCATTTACGTACATACCACCCAATTGTTATGTATTTACAATCTAACATATAAATTTTATTTAACCCAAATTTTGTAAAAAATTTTTCATTTATATAACCCAAATTTTGTAAAAAATTATTATGTGCATGTAGATTCAGTGCACAACAGTGTTATATGCAATTGTATAATAGTGCACGATACTATTATACATAAATTCTATATATATTAAGATTCCTTACATAATATTATCTCTATAACTTGATATCACATCAAAAATATTTCCAAAATCCAGGTTAGTCCACCTATATATTTTTTCATGGAGTCTAAGGTTTCATTTCTCATCTATAAATCATTTCCCACCTGACCCTATCATTAGTTTAGGGTTTCAAAGAATTAATCTCAGTCAAATCCAATATCCCTGATTTATCTTTTGACTTGACTTAATTAGTTTAAATTCATCAAATCTTTTCAAATCTCTCTTTTATATTGTGTCATTCCTCTGACACATCATCATTGAGCTGTAAGTCTCATTCTCCTTTTGAACGTAATTTTTGCAGTTTTGACTCTCCATTCTAATTATCAAAGTTTGATATCTGAAAGTTTGACTTATCACAGTAATTGAGAGTTTTCATTAGGATTCACACCCTTTAGGATGTAATTAACTACGAGGGCTTACCCTTAAAGGGAACGAGACCCCATAATTAAAGTAGATCTTATCTTACACCTATAAGGTAACTGAATAATCCTAGTTTGGCGAATACATAAATCCTAAGGACTCTCCTCATCTGAGTGATTGAATACATTTTAAGATAATGTTTTAATCTTTTGAGCATACTCGATCATTTGGATAGAAGCCTTTCGAGAGTTATGGTGACAACCAAACAAAAAAATAAATTCCCTTAGGGTTGAGTATCACAACGTAAATTTGAAAGATTACAATAGAAGAGTTATGACCCCCAAGCAAATGATAGTGCAAATTTAACAAAGCTACTTGAATTTCCTAATAAATAAGTCATTTTATAAGAAAACAATCAATCTAGTCGCACAAAAGAGGAGATTCCTTTCACTCGTAACACTTGAGAAAATCTCCTTATAAGACCAAGTCAATTGTAATAGAGATGAGTTGACAATGTATGAGACTGATCCTTGAAGATGAGCCAAAATGACCATAGGATAAAATCCTGTAGGAGAGCTAAAAGCCCTAAAGCAGATTAATAGTCAACACATAGATACCTTGCTTGTTTTACTTAAAGTATTTTTGTAACTTGTATTTAAAAAAAAACCATCTACTTGTCTTATAGAGACAAATAATTTTAGTTTTATATTCATCAATCTATTATTTTTTTTGCACATAAGTGAATGAAGGAGCTAATATATATTATTGAATTTTTTTTTTTTTGACGTTTAAGGCGCTCAAATTGTCCAAAGAGTTAGTTAAACCTGGCTAGTTTGACCAGCTCAAGTAGGTCTGATCAGCTTTAGTCAACCCACCATTCTCTATTTGGCCCGGCTTAACTTCAATCAGCTTGTCATGGCTCTGGTAGACCCCTTCAAGCTATAGTCAGACCAACCAACTCATGCTCCAGTCAGCCCAACAAGCTCCAATCGTCAGGCTAGTTCCATTCGGCTAGACCAGTTTCAGTTGCCCGAACAACTCCAATCATCCTGACAGATCTAGTAGGCTCGGCCTACTCCAGCCGCGATGTCAACTCCAATCACCTGACCAGCTCCAGTCGCCCCAGCTAGGCGAACTACATTCGACCCGACCAGCTCCTACCTGTTACAGTCGATTATAAATAGAGGAACAATATTTATGATAGGAGATGAACATTTAATATATAAATTCTATTAATAATTGTTCATCTTTCTCTCATCACTTAAATTCTATTCCTCGGGTATGATTAAGGAAAGAATCTCAAATTCAACATCTTAAATTTATTAAACATCTGACCACAAATTTTACTAACCTATAAAATTCAGCTAAAAAAACATTAAGGGCAACATTAAGTTTCAGTATATGATTTGGCTTCAAATTCATTTCAGATTTTTTTTTTGCTCATTAAAGAAATCATTATTTATTTTCCAAATCAAATAAAAATTTTCCCGTTAAAAGACAATATCCTCGCCGTCAAAGCGTAGTACCGACTGCTGGAAGAATGGCTACTGTCATCCCTATCTCCCCATCCTCCGTAGCGTATAGATGTCGCCCCTCCTCTCCGGCCGCTCCTTTGCTTCTCTCTCCCCGCTTCGCCAACACGTCCTTCACCGTACCCCTCTCCTTGTTCCCTTCTCTCTCCACCCGAAACCGCAGGGCGTGCCCTGTATTTGCCGCTGCTAAGAAGAAGTACATCGAAGACGACTATCTCGTGGTACCTCATCACCAATCTTTTCTCGTTTCTGCTAATGACTTGCTCCTCCACCTCTTTCGCTTCCTGAATCGTCCGGATTTTCTGCATTTTGTGCGGCGTATCAGAAAAAGGTTTCGGCTAAGGAACTAGAAGAGTTAGTGAAAGGCGAGAGGAGCGTTCCAATTGTTCTTGATTTCTATGCGACATGGTGTGGACCTTGTATTTTGATGGCACAGGACCTTGAAATGGTATGTCTCACCTTCTCATCGATTCGTCTTGCTCACTGTGAAATTTTACGTCTTCTGAAAATTTTATGTCCTATCTTTGGAGAGCATTTGGTTAGAGTTGAGGTTTAAATCACTTTGCATGCCAACTGTTTGATAAATTTTCTGGCTGCTGATGCATAATTTTCTAAGGGATAACAAAGATATAGAAAGCATACTTTATCTAACCAACTTGTGGCTGTAATTTTAGGAAATGATCGCCCTATTCTTCAAATTTTATTTAAATTACTTTGTGGTTATGCACTTGTAAAGTGGTGAAAAAGCAGAACTTGCATGAAATTATATATAGAATAATAGATTAGTTATGGTAGAAATTGGGATTGATGTGCATGCTAACTGTGAGGGTTTTATATTGGAAAGAAAAAACTATCTGGAGCTTTACATATTTCAAAGGTGTTTTGCAATGCATTCTTGCACTTGGAAAATTACATTCCAGACCCCACATTGTAAGGTATATGCACTGGATTGGCCATTTGGAAGATTAGATCCACAACTGTGCACCTTTGGTTCTTTATTATTATTATGATTATTTTTTATTTTAAGAGGCACGTTTAGGTGCTGACAACCATGTAACTCTGGCTGTTACTGGTTGGTCCAGTCTTCTTACTCTGATTTTCACTTTGTTTGGTTAGGGTACTAGTATTAGAAGCTAATTCAATTTTTTAAAAGTTTTTCTAGGAATTTATACATCTATAGAATCTTAGAAGTCATTTACTTTAAATGATAAAACGGTTTGCTATTTGGAAACTCAAATGCTGCTTCCTTATTCAAATAGTATCAAGTTTAAAGAATTTTTAACTGAGAATTTGAGTATAATTATTAAATTTGAAGTTTGGAGCTACTGGTTGTCTTTTTTGGTTCTTTTTCGAGTTACATTTGCGCTATTTTATGTATTAATAGTTATTTCATGTTAAACCTTGCCTCTTTTTTCTTTTGGAGGTTTATGTTTTAATGTACGAGCATGAAAAAAAAGGAAGAAGCAATCAAGGTAATAATGGGGCATTAATTGAGCAAAAGAGGTCAATTTTGATGTTTTTCAAATTTTGTTTTGCTTCAATTGTGCTCATTTAGAGAGTACATTATTTTACTTCAGGAGCTAAAAGAAAAAAAGAAGGCGAATGCGAGAGAGTATTTAGCATTTTTTCTTAATCTTGAATCTAATTTTTCTCAAGCATAAATTAAGCAAGGGGTTAAATTTTGGAATTTCTAGATTTTTATCTATTTCTATGAGGCTTTAAGACAAACAAAACTTGTCACACCCTGCGATGATCTCTCAATGTCGAGCATATGATGTAACAAAGATATGTACAACCCGAGTGATTGTATCTACCAACAATGTTTATTCTATAATTCTACTGATTAGAATAGAACTCATGATCAACTTAATCACTAGATTGACCCAATCATAATATCTCTCTCTCACACACAGTTATATATATATATATATATATATATATATATATATATTCTTACTCAGATCCAATAATTTAAGACAAGTCAATTAATAAGATTTATTTTATAATATTTCATTCATACTTTGATATATATATTCCCACTACAGACTTTGAAAGGGCTAGTCAAGTAGTGCGGGGAAGAAAATAAATGTTTAATAAACGACATTCGTCATTAAGGGGTGTGATTGAGAGGGCTTTTGGAGTTTGAAAGAAAAAAATGAATTATTTTACAATAGATGACAACATATTCTTTTGAAAAACGGGTTAAAATTGTTGCTTCAACAATCACACTTTATAATTACATATGTCATCATCCTTCGCATTTTGATGTTGACTTCGCAAGTGTAGATAATAACAAATCAGTGTCTTCTGAAGCATATGAATATCGCTTGGGCGAATCGATGATGGATACTCATGATATATTATCAGCCCCTGCTTAGGTGATGGAGAAGATGTTGATGAAATGACTGAGTTACGAGTGCATATCACTAATGCTTTAGTCAATGCTTGATTTAATATTTATATGGTTGATTATATGAGCAAGTGTTATGTAAAGCAAGTGATGAATGATTGAAGTGTAATTATGTTAATTTTTTTTGGTAGAACTGCTCATGTTATGGAATATAGATGCTTCAAGAATTGCTAAAAAAATTATAATTGATTGTAGATTTATTGCATTTCAGCTGGATGAATCAAATCTATATGTTATCTTGCAGTAATTGAATTGGATCTTCTAAATTTGTTCTTCTATTTGTATGAATTTGGCATTGAAAGTGAGAAGATAATATTGATAACTTGAATGCATTGTTCTATTGAGTTTCTATTCCATATGCCCTAACAAAGGATAACATAGCAGTTGCCTCAGAAGACTGCACATGCAAACATATGGTTTACAAATTGCAAGAATAGAATGGATCACTGTTCATTTTGAAGACGAAGATACTACATCAATACCACCCACTACATTTTGAAGACGAAGATACTACATCAATACCACCCCAATATAACTCAAATAATATCTTGACACAAAACCCTCAGTATCACCTCAATACCACATCAATACTACCCCAATTATATATTCTCTCAAAACTCACATTATCACCCCAATATCACCCTAATATCACATCAATACCATCTCAATATCTCCCCAATACCACATCAATATCACTCGAATAATATGTTCTCCTCCCAAAACCCAAAATACTACCTCAATTTCACCTCAATACCACCTCAATACCACCTCAATAATATTTTAGCACAAAAATCTCAATATCACCTGAATACCATATCAATATCACCCCATTGTCACCTCAATATCACCCCAGTTATATATTCTCCTAAAACGCATAATACAACTTCAATACCACATCAATATCACCCTTACACATCCCAATAATATCTTGGCACAAAACCCTCAATACCACCTCAATACCCCCTCAATACGACATCAATACGCCCTCAATACGACATCAATACCACCCCAATATCATCCCAATACCACCCCAATATCATCCCAATACCATGCCAATATTGTCACATTTTGTAAATATATAGTAACTATGTGGTGTGTATGTGAATGCTCCTTTAGGTTCTCATGACGCCTTTTACTGAATTTTGTTTGGCCTGACAACACTTTTTTTAATTTAAAGGCGAAGCTAACCCTCATTGGAGGATTCTATTTTTGACTTCATTGGCAAATTTTGGAGGGATTAAAACATGTATTTTACTTTTTTACAATTAATGTGGTTGTATTTTTTTATATAATATGAAAGATTTGGATGGTATCAATGTAAAAAAAAATTAGAGTTTTTGTCAGATATATAAATGCAAAGGACTTCGGTAATATGTATGTAAATACCATTATTTATACAAATTTTACATCTCATTTTCTTTTTACCTATTCATTTTTTTCTCTATCATTATTTATGTGCTAATCATTAATATACATGATTATATTATTGAAAATGAGCGCAAGCTATTCCATAAGCCCTAAGTGGACTAAACATTGACCAGCATATTGTGATTGCTTATATGCGTTGTTTTCATGACTTAGAATTGTGACAATGCTAGCCGAAAATTTTGCAGATGTTCAAAAAATTTAATGAATAGAAAATGCAAATTTTTTCTATGGGTGGATGAACCGAGCGATGCAATAATGTTGTGAGGTGATGAAAAGATAAATGCATTTGATGATGCGGTGAAGAATGATATTAAAGACTTCAAATTTTTTTTGAAGACATTGCTCTTGTTTAATTTTGTAATCGTAGCACTTCTGTTCTTGTTGTTAACATTGTATTTGCTTAGATGGTGTTGATGTCTATTGGAGGACAAGCTGTACTGCTTTAGAATTTTTTGGTAAGCAAACTCGTATGTTTGGCTGAGACGCCGCTTATGCTAACTTATATTTGTATGATTATTTTGAGGGAAGAAAATTTGATTAATTTTCACCTTAAGTTCCTTTATTGTGTTGTGAGTGAAAATAACTTGATAAATTATCATTGGATTTATTCCACAAGCAACACTTTCAAAACTGTCTTTTTTCAAACAGACCAACTGTTTATGAAACACAAACTTTTGAACAGATTTTTAACAATAGCTTTTGAACTGAGATTGTGCTGCCATAATTGAAACAAATGCACCCTAAAATTAAATTTGCCTTTGGAAGCGTGCAAATATTCTTAAATTTTGTAAAATTTGTTTTTTCAAGAATCAAATTTAAATTATTAAATAACGCACCCTCGAGTGGGTGGCCTCGTATATTGGGTAAATTTGTAAGTCTCATTTTAAGTCATCCTCCTCCTCATAGGGATTATAGTTGACAAATATTGAGCTTTGTTAAGTCAATCTAATTTTCTCTCTCATAAGAATTGGAGCTGACATGATTGATGTCTTAATGAGATTCAAATGCATTTTCAAACTAAATAGTGAATATGGACATTTCAAGTGTTTCAATTGTTACCTCAATGATGACATTGTTGAAAATAGATGTCAACCAGAGGGGTCACTTCTAAAATTGAAGTCTTTAAGTTTAAAATCTAAATTCACAATAATTTATCTTTATTGATGATCATGTTGAAATTGAAACTTAATCGAAAATATTTATTTTCAAAATTTAAGTCCTCAATTATAAACTCTGACTAAATAAAAAATGTGAATATTTCAAGTGTTTCAAATGTTACATCAGTAATGGTCGCGTTGAAAATAGATCTTAAGTGGAGGGTGCACTCCTAAATTTGTTGTCTTTGAATTCTAAGTCTAAATAGACTATAGTATCTTTGTTAATAATTGTGTTGAAAGTGACTCTCAATCGAAGACAATATTTTGCAAAATGTGAGTCCTCAATTATAATTATAAAAAATTTAAGCAAAATTCTCGATGATGGTTGTATTGACCGCAATTCTGAACAAGTGGGGTTTATATTCAAAATTAAGCTTATAAGATAGCTATATTCAATTAATACAAGTGTCATGAACCCGATATTCTAAAAATAAGATGTATAATTGATAAGGT